GTGTCTGGAGCAATTTTTAACCTTTTTTTTATATTGGGATGTATGCTTTTATTCAAATAATAAAATCATTGTAATAAAATAATTGTATTAAAATTGTATATAATATGATCATCATTAATAAATGTAACAATGAAGTGATTGAATGTAACATTAAAATGTAATACAAATCATAATATTATTCAACAACATTTGTAATATGTAACAAGTCACATACAAGCCACAATAATGAGAATACTAAGCTTTTATTCTTGAGACATTTGTTAGTTTACATCTACTATGATAAAATGCACAATAAAGTTAACTCTAACACTTTTCAGAAATGTAAATTAAAAGAAAATGAAATGCTTAAGCATTATGAGGCTCATCTTGTCAAGATATACGAGAAAAAATAGAAAAGAAAGATGATAGAAACTACTGAAGAACGGGATGCATGTCGCATATATGACCGCGAATAAAAACACCTAAAAGTAGTAAATAAAAATATTAAAAACTACATAATCTAACGCAGCTGCAGCGGAGTCAAGCTATGAAGCTGCAGTAACTACAGCCGTAGCAGCAATGATCTATAAAGCCGCAGCAACTACAGCCGCAGCAGCAATGATCTATGAAGCCATAACTGCAGCAGAATCAAGGTATACCAGAGCAGAATTAAGACATTTCAGAATGGCAAGATCAGAGTGTTAAAGTCCCATATGAGCTCAGTAAATCTGAATGAGGCCTTCTACAGAAGTTTCGCAATAAAATAAACAAATTAAAATATAATCTTTGCTCTATATGCAATGAGAGCTTTCCGTCTATAGCTCTTGTAAAAGAAGAATACCACCGCTGTTATAGTGAAAAGACTTACCCAAAGAAATTCTCTGCAGAAAATAGTATGGATCCTGGTGATGTACCTGATGAACTCTAAGGGCTTATAAAAATTGAGATGTTGATTGCTAGAGTCTTTCCCGTAATATCTGTTTACAGACTTTGTGGAGGACAATGTGGATATTGTGAAAATGTAATCAACTTCTCCTAAGATGTACAAGGATTTGCTACTCATCTTTCTCGACATCTATCATTATTAGATGTACTTGTTGTACGTTGTAAAACTGCAGATAATTTAGCAGCATTTAGAGATTTTACTATCTGTTATGTCAAAGTTGCTTACGCGTTATACTGGCTAAAAGAGAACAATTGTTATTATACTGATATTATAATAGATGATGAGGTTCTTTGTTCTTTACCTACTAGTGAATCTATTAATGACTGCTTTTAGAATACTCAAATAGTTGCTGAGGATTTAGATAATGAAGATAAGGGTGATGAAGGTGATGCAGTTACACATACTTTATTCTACTTTTTCCTTTAACTTGTTGTGAAGATGTCGCTATTCAAAATACCCTTGATCGCGTGTAAAACTAAAACTGCCTCATAGAATAGTCATAGATCAGCAATAATCCTGTTAATGAATTTCAAATGCTAGGGTATATTACATACGCGTTTCTAACATTATATCTAACTGGATGCACAGATCTTCATGCAAAGCAAATTAGAGACGTCAAACCTGCTAAATACTTTAGACATCTGCTTCTATATAAAGACAGGAGATTTGCACGCCATTCTCGTTAGTGATATTTCACATTGAATTCTCAGATGTGATGGCAAGCACTATAGGAAGGAAAAGTATATGTTAAGCAAAACCTAACTGATTCTCAAATTACTGTCGCAGATATTCAGAAAAGAATAATTTAAGATAATAATCATATTGCTGAAAGAATTATACAATTTAGCAAAGGGCTGTGTGAATCTCAGCAGTTTTAGAATGCAAGGTGTTAGGAACTTTCAGACATAATTAAGCAAATAGGATTACAGAGCTTGATCTTCTTTACATTTAATACTGCTAATTTGTATTAGCCTGAACTTCATAAGCTTATATCATCTAATTCCACAGAAAGAGAGACCAATAACTAAAACATTATCGATAATTCTCATATCGCTGTTTGGTTCTTTAACAAGTGATTTGATTTATTTTTTAATAATATTTTAAAACGATAATGGAATTTGAAGGATTGGTAGTATCGATTCAAGTGGCAGCATCACGATAGTATCCATGTTCATAGAATCAGAAAAAAATGCAATACACCTATAATAGAATAGAAACAAATGCAGAAAGACGAGAATATTATGAACAAAGTAGTATGATACCTTGATTCTCTGATTACTATGATAAATCTAGGGCTCAACACATCTATTCTGATCAGCATCTGTGTAAAAGCGTAAAGACAAAATATGCGATGATTAACAGGATTATGTTGAACTGATCAATAAGCTGCAATGACATATATGATGTAGTCTTTCGTATTACCTTTTTGTTAACCAAGATAGTCAGTAATCTTGCAGGTTTAGATACCCTAAAAAAAAATGTTGAGAATACTTTTGTACATGATGATGGTCATGGTCAACCTGAGCTTGTAATAAAAAGGAACGATCCATTGATCAATCTGCACAATAGGCTCCAACTGTAAGGTTGGCGAGCAAATGTTAACCTAAAGCTGATCTTAAGTATCTATGCTGCCTTGCAATATATATCAAAATATGTAAGCAAAGCGGAATCGCAATCTGTTGTCTTCTCAGAAATATTGAATCGAATTTTAAGTAATAGCAATTCAGATAAACAAATATTTGCTTTGATCCAGAAATTGCTGCTAAACAGTGTTGTAGAGCATAATGTTTCTGCTCAGGAAATGTGTCACATTCTCCTTGATACTCTATTATATCACTCAAGTAGGTCATTTGTATTCTTGAACCTTAATAAAGAAACACTGAGGTGGATTTGTGATACTGAAAAAAGTGAAAAGCTTCTTACAATTAATTCTAGATAGATAGAACAATCACCATTAGAAAGATATTGGAACTGACCTACCAAAATCAAAGATTTCACATTATATCAGCTCCATTTAACTCACAAATTCACTAAAAATAAATGAAATAAATGCAAAAAAAAAATATTATACGTATCTTTTTACATTCATTAGCCTTAT